AAATTTCAAATTCCGGATTTCTTGATTCTCTGGTGATAAACTTAAACCTCTGGTTTTGATTTGTGGTTGTTGTTATTGCTACATTAATGATGGTTTTGATTTTTCTCTGATCCGGTTTTAGCCGTGTGGTTTCAATTTCTCCGGCTGTTTTTGTTCGCCGGCGGGCAGTATTGATTCGATTCTATACGATTTGAGTTTTCTATTTTTTTTTTCCTTAGGTTTAAGAGTTTCCTTTTCTATTAAGTTAACAAAATTTTACCAACTACCATTAAATTTTAGAAACCTCGACGGCAATAGCTTCATCACCTCTTTCTCTCAAAGCGAAGCTCTTGTGTAATTTGATGTGGAGTATGATAATGACGAATAATCTGGAATTATGACTTTCGATTTGTTTCAGTGATTTTGAGGTCAATTTGACGTTTAATTGGAAATTAGAGTGCAATATTGAGATTTAGATGGGGAATGGTGATGAATCTAAATGTGTTTTCCCCTTAACGAGTCTCCAGATCGGGTAATTATCTCTCTTCCAACTCTTTTTCTTTTTTTATGATTCAGAGGATCAATGATTCTGCAGTTTATGTCTATAAATATGGAATTATGTGACCTGTTTAGAAGTACAATATATAGTTTTCTTGTTGTGTGTTTGCTTTTTCATTATTATATATAAGTCTTTTTTTCTGCCATTGTTGAACCTTTAATGGAAAATATGTTGTCCTTCCAGACAAAACAAGATCTCTTTTGGTTTTGACAATTTATATCTATGTTCTGCAATTAAAGCTATCGCTTATTTTTGTGTCTTTCATTATCTTGGATTTAAATGGAATCGAATACCTGTAGAATTCTGATTCCGGTCTTTATATTCCTTTCCTGAATCTGAAGCAGTATCAGTTCTTGGTGTTAATGTCTTAAACATCTCCCTCTGAAGTGAAATATAGTTGAAGCTATTTGTTCTATCAAATCTCTGGTCCAGTTTCATGTTCTCTTCTATCGTTGTTGTAGTTTTAAATCTCAGTCGTGTTGGCTTCCTTTTCTCAGCAGATACTTGTGTGTTTGTTTTAAAGAGTTAACTACATTGTCACATTTAATTTGCTTGATAATCTCTGCTTATCTGGTTAACCTTTGTTTTTTGGTTGGTTTCAGAGACTTGCAATCATATCTTTCTGATCTCAGTATTTTCCTGGGAAATAAAAGTAAAAAGATTTATATATTGGTGGACAACCGGCCATGGTTGAATCCTGGAACCAAATCTGCTCATTTCTGGCAACTAATGGTTACAAAGGTTGTAAAAGCTGCTTCAAGTATATTTCTCTTTGTTGTTCATGTATAAAATATAGTGAAGTGACCCATCTATCTTTGTTTGCAGTCCAGACTCTCTCCTTTCGCAAACACGAAAGTTCGAGGGGAGAAGAAAAATCAGAAGCAGGAGGGGGAGAAGAAAAAGTCGAAACAGGAGAAGGAGAAAAAGCCTAAAGAGGCGTGTTCTCAGCCCCAGCCAGACAATATAAAAATGAAGAAGCTTAAGAAATGGTTCTCAGTGATAGATGCGACAACATTTTCGAAGAAGAAATTACCTGCAAAGAAACTGCAAAGCTCTTTGTATCTAAACAAGCAACTGCACAAGACCTTGTATGGTTTCATCGTGTTTGAGATTGAATGGGCTAATGTGAGGGGTATCAATTACTTAAATGAGCTACAGGTACTCCTTGCAACTGTCCACTTTTTGGTCTGACATTGTATGTTATTCTTGTTTCTTACTTGATCTATATCTTTATGTAGACAGACACATCTCTTGCTATAGAAGCTAAGTTGATGCGAAGGTGGGAGTTTGAGAGTATTGATCAAGCTGTAAAAAGCATGTCTCAGTGGTTCTCGGGATCAAAAGCTGAAAAGTCTTTCTTGAGGGAATATCTCGACTCGACTATAGGTATTATAGTATTTCATAAAGAACATCTGCTCTGATTTAGCTTTGAAATTCCTTTCATCAGGCAAATTTGCTTTAGTTGGTGATACATCTTATTGCATCCTTAAACGTTGCACCTTTATGGGCTTCTAGCTCAAATAAGCTTATAGTATCGTAACTCTTGCAGGAGAGGTTTTTCATGACGCTGAAATGGAATTCTCAAAAACTTCTCCCTTTGATGATGATGACAACCTCAGCAGCGACAATCGTTCTGTTGAAAATGACTCTCCTTGCTGCGCCAGAAGTGTCTTCAACGTTAATCATGCTGCTGTAGATTATGATGAAAACGAGCCTCACACACCGCCTCTGACTGGACCATACAAGAGAAGAAGAGTAACTAAGGCAATCAGCACCGGAGTTGAAGTTGACTATATGGAGGAAACACCCAAAAGAAAAGATAACTCGGTAGACCACTGGGAAAGCCATGTACCTGATTGTGAGAACATCACTGAAGCAACCCAGTATAAGGATGTACTAGTTCTTGTTAAGTGTGGTGACCGTGATCTTCCTTTTAAATTGCGAGAGGTTATAATGGCTGACATACGCTTGCTTACTTTACTTGAAGCTGGTCTCCCTTCCTGGGTCTTGTTTCTGCAGTCTTATCCCGGTTTCTGTCATCTTTATCGACCCTGGATGTGCCTTTTCGCCAGAGCATTATATGTGATGGTATCTGTCATCACTGTTGTAATTGGTTTTTATGACCTGTACAAAAATGTCCCCGTTCTGAAGGCTACTGCAGCTCGGTTATGTGGGCCGCTCTTTGATTGGGTTGAAACATGGGACATGGTATCCCGGATAAAGTACTTGGGAACGATGTTGTTTCTTCACAACTTCCAGAAAGCTGTCAAATGGGCTCTGACTATGGCACGTGCTATGCAGTCATTTGTTTCATTTTGCATAATGCCTCTGGTAAATCCTCTCTTAGAAGTTCTTGGTTTGCTCCTACCGTTATGGAATTCGTTGGCGGAAACAGTGGCGAGCTTGGTTTCAGTGGTTTGGATAGTGATTGAGTCTGGTTGCAATCTTGTTGGTGATGTGGTAGAGTTGGTGCTTTTGCCCATTTGGTATATCGTCTCACTAGTTTGGAACGTCAGTAAGTAATCAAACGTTTGCGTGAGCATTACTTTTCTTATCTTTTAAGCATAGAATCATAATCCTGATCTTTTTTCTTTTTCTTTTTGATGCAACAGCAAATACTGTTTTACTGCCTCTTTTCTGGATCATATGGGAAGTGGTATATGCACCGATCAGAGTGGTTGCTGCATTGGCCAACTGTTTAGCTGTTTCCTTCTCATACATATTCGATGTTATTGGAGATTTATGGAGGTATATGAGCAGTATACTTCAGCTTGCATCAGATTCTCAAGCAGCTGCGAAGACTTACGAAGTCTCCATGTGGCGTACTCTTTGGAACGACCTCTTTTCTCATGTCAGTAAGCAATGTCAAGTACAATAGAAAAAATCTGAATCCTTGCAACTTCAGTCATTACTAAATGTGTTTGTTTTGCTTCATTTTTCAGGTTTTTCGTGCTGTCAGGAGTATATTGAACGGTTTTGTGGCCTTCTTTGCTGCCTGTAACAGACATCGGCTTAGGTAGAGTGTTATCTCACACACATTTACACTTTGTTTGCTATATGACCATTTCCGACATCTATTTTTTGGAATTGATCTGGTTTCTCTTTGCAGTACATATAATCACATACAAGAGTTAATCCAGAGAGTACATGGACGAACCACGAGATCAGAATCTATAGACTCAAGACATGGCATGTCTGCTAAGAACAATCAACGTACAGTAAGTTTTCTCTCAATTTCACCAATGTTCTTCTCTTATCGGAATCAGTTTGGCTTACCTGCGTTTCCCACACCGGTTTTTGATCATTTTTCGCAGGGAGACGAAACGAGAAGGAAATTGCACCTTGCATAGAAGTCAACACGAAAATCTTAATTCTTTTGATTTGTTTTCTTACCAGAGTATATGATAGGTTAGGGTATAGATAGATAGGTGCCAAGAAAGATTGTCCCAAATCAGCCAAATGATGTTGTATATATAGGAAAGAAAGGAATCACACACTCACTCTTGCAAACCTCATAGTGTCTTCCTCCTTAGAATTGGTAAGTTGTCGATATAACAACAACAAGAACACAAAAGAAAAGAAAAAAGAGAGAGCATTTTTATGATTTTGTAAAAATCGTAATTATAACTAATGTTATGGAAACGACTTTCGATAACAATGTTGAATAGTTGATGACGAGCAGTGAACAATTAACACACAAATGCCCAATTGATACAAGAGACATCAAAATTTTGGTTCACTTTCCAATGACATTTTGTGATTTAATTAGAATCTGTAGAACTCGAGTTTGCTGTTTCCTTTAGATACCAAAAATACCCTTTCAAAATTGAGCAAGTTAAAGGCACTTTTGATAGACTTTCCCAAATTTGTAAAGAGGAAATTTTAGCACGGAATGTTCGCCGGTATTTTTCTTTCATTAGCACTTAAACTTTTATTGGATAGATGATTCAAATAATGTGTTTAGTTTAACCATTTGAATGAAGTGTTTTTCTTTACCCAAAAAGAAAACGATAATACATTATTATGTTTTCAAGAAAATAAAAATAAAAATGAAAAGAATCATATAAAATGTTCTGGTACATGACATGAGGGATGTATTGGCAAAAACATAGAATTAGAACCTCTTAGTTATTAAAAAAAGAAAAAATAATTCGGTGGTTTGCAACAGGAAATAAACGAAGATAGTGAAGATCTCTATTTTTCTATAAATATAAATGTATGTATAATTATTTATATAGTTAAATGCTTACACTGACTCCATTATATTATTAGCTTACAAAAGAATCAAAAGAAAAGGAATCTATTCTTCTTCTTCCAATTATTATTGTTATCATTTGATTCAGGAGAAAAAGAAAAGAAAACAAAAACCAAAAGAATATGATGATTCCTCCGGTAGTAACTCATGATTTTTCTCCTCCTTTAATTTTGTTATTCAACTATGGAAAAAAGGGGCTGACGGATTGATCAAACCTCTTCTTTATCTCGTTTTCATTTTACCTATTGGAGCAAGAGAAAGACATTGGAATGTGCTTCAAGCCTGATACATCGAATGACTCCATGAACCTTTGATCCGAAACTCTAGCTTTAGCCGCTGCAAATCGTTGGTACTCGTCGAATATCGATGTTATGCACCATTTCTGGAGTTTCCTCATGCACCCAACTAGACACCCGGTTCTGTGCTGCAATGATCATAACCATTGTGTTGAGTCAAAACAAAGAAAATGAAACTCGTCTAAGGAGATAGTTACAATTTTACATACCTTGCCTCGTTTGCAATGAATCAAAAGTGGATGGTTCTTTTCATCTGAGGATTAAAAAGAAGATAACGAGATTAGAAGACATGTATAACCAAAAACATATGATTTTCTCTTAACTTTTGTTTAGGGCTTCTATGATTTTTACCGAGAAGGACTTTGAGTGCTTCACGGATTTTATGATCTAGGATATCTACTAATGGCCCCTGCAAAAATGAGGATCACATTATCAGTTCCTTGGTAAGTCTTTAGTAACACATAAACCAGAAAAAAAGATATCTAAATTATGATGAAACATTTCATGTGTCGGCTATATTCATTTTTAGAGACCGAATTGATCAGAAAACTAGATTGGTTTTGGCTATTTCCTAGAGTACTGTAAAAGAGCTGTGGAGTATATTCTATCTTCCTGTTTTTAAAAAGTTAAGCACAGCAAAAATATAAACACAAGATCAAAGAGGGTCCATCTAAAGCAGCTAATAATGAAAATGATTTCATATGAAGACTAGAGACTAGAGAGTTGTCATACCCAACATAAAGAATCTTAGCCAATAAGCAAATTTAAACTAGAGAGACATAATAAAAATTTATATGAATGTGGAATATCCAATACCCTTCTAGTCAAATCATTCTGAGAAAAAGAGAAAAGCCACTTTATTTCATGTTTAGTCTAAAAGCAAAATTGACAAACAATCATATGAAACAGAATTGACAACAAAAGGCTTATTATGTGTGACAGAGAACGATCACTACCACAACAGAAAATCAGCACAATTGTATACTTTCAGCCTTCTCTTTTCGAATATAAAGATGTGCTAGATCAAATCAAACTAGCCGCCCCATCACAAGTTGTATAAACTTGTTCAACTAAAAGTATAATATGTTTGGTTGGCTTCTTTCTTATGGCTGCGTTTAAAATCCAAAAAGTTCCATATTATACACTTTGAGATCAAGATAACTAGTTCACTACTCTACGCTCAAGTTTTTGGTTATTCCCTCTCTTACCAACAATTCCTTGAAACGAAAAGTCATTTTATCCAAACATGAGCCGATGAGCCACTAAAACATTAGCAAAATAGGTAGGTAGGTATTACACAACAGTAACTGACATAACTTAACCATCTATCACTTAATTCAAGCTTGATTTATGTACTATACCTACCAGTTGATGTGTGGATACTTTTATCATTAACACATTGTCGACAAGTCACTATCTACAAAGCTTTCACCACCAAAACCCAAAAAAGCTACTTCAACTACAACTTGTACTACCACAAGGAACACTTTATTTTTCCTTTTCTAATTTAAGATTACATAAGATACCATACATGCATCAAAGTGCACACACAACTAATATGAACCAAGAAAACAGTATCAACATAAACACAAAGGAAAGTAAAACTTTTGAGTAGTGGATCTGACAATACTTGTATGCAAGCAAGTTTTTTTTGACGCAGCCCATTATCTAAATTTTATATATATGCAGTAAGAGGACCAAGTGGTATTAGTTGATGAATGGCAAGCAAACTAACAGTGGGACCATAGAGTCAATGGTAACGGACAGAGCCAAGAAAAGCATCCTTCAATAAAGCATTAAAGAATGGTGTACACTTTTCTTGGGCGGTCATATATAAAATATATGGATAATTAGAATAATAATCTCTTGAAGGGTTAAGTCCAAGAGGACCAAGACAACAAAATCCATACATGAAATGCCATTCTTCTAGTATAAATCATAACAAACCTATGTAAACATAAAACTAGAGAGACATGCACAATTATGCAATAATGAGCAATTAAAATTGTGATTAGAACTCCAAATATTATTCAGATTAATACCGAAGTTTTCGAATTTCCATTTGTATAGGAACCCTCTTTCTGATGCTTAGAACTCCAAATATGCAACCAAACCTCGTTCTCTAACCCGGGGAGACACTGAAAATTCAAGATATGAACTTTCAATTGTGAGAATTCTCTCTATGAATTCAGGTTTTGGCAACAACTTGAAGCCATAAAATAAGAATTACTGAACAAGTTAAGCCAGGGATCAAGCAATTCAGAAATGGACATTTATGAACAGAGAGTAGCTAAAAGTGAAAAAAAAAAAAAAATGACACACACCTTGGACTTGGAGCCTTCAATGCCAAACTGAAAAAGACTAATTCCATTGGATTTGAGGAACTGCATGTTGTTCTCAGGATATGGCTCTGGACACAAAGATCTTCACACATTTCCCATACACAAACAAAACACAAAAACCTAATTAAATCAAGGGTTCCAAGTTCCAACGTTTTCAATATAAGAGTCAATTAATCAAAGTTCTTGAAAGCTTACATGATTGAGCGAAGGCCAAGAGTCTTGATGAAGGAGAAGTTCGCTAAGTCCGGGAATCCAGACCGGAATATACCATTATCGACCATCGCAAAGTTCAACGGTGGAATCAGGTTAAGTAAGTCGCCGGAAACTTCTAGCAGTGGTGCAGCAGTAGCCGGCGGCGGCGGAGACACGTTGTTCCGGTCAACTTTAGCTACCTCGATGGTATGGAAACCCTCACCACCGTCTTGCTTCTCCTCCTCCTCCATAGTCATAAACTTGTTCTTGTTCATCGTCTTCTCAATCAGTTTCATTCTTGAGCTAAGAAAGAATCTAAACGAGTTGGATTCTTGAATTTCTTGGAGTGTTGAATCAGAAGAGATCTTATCTTGTTTTTGTTTCTTGATAGGTTATGGAGAAGTAATGGAGATGGTCGTTATGAATCGACGACCTTGCTTTATATAGACACGCCATTGTAGAGAGAGAAACTTATGTTGTCGCTGTTGGACTTTTAGAGAGAAAGCAAAATAAAAAGAAAAGAGAACATTTGGAGGAGATGAACGATACTTGCGTTTTCAATGAATAATTCTTTATTAAATTAATGCAAAAAAAATGTTTTGTTTTCGTCAGAATATATAATGCACAATCTAAATTCGATTTTCTGGAAAATGACAATATAAAAAATAACTCATAGTGAAAGTGAAAATACAGCTTTATTAAATTGAAGGAAAGCCATGGTGGGGGATGAGGATCAACCTATGAAAATACAAATATAATAAGCTAACTGAGAAACCACAAATCTCCACCTCAAAAAGAAAATTATTCAATGGTCTATGAAAATAATTTTTTCACAAAGGATTGATTGTCCGCTGCTCCAGACAGAATGACAAATAATACAGAACTAGTTTCGATGATGCAGACGTTGGAAGATTGGATTGACCCGTCTTCTCCAATCAGCTAGACGAGATTGGTCTGCTTCGTGTTTCGTTTTTTTTTCTCACTTTTTAGTGTTCTTCGCTCTTGTAATGCTAAGGCAAATTCTAGCCCGTCACTCTAAAATTTTATTTTATAAAATTTCATTTGTAAACACTTATCCGCCAGATTGGGCTACTAATCATGGAGTCACTTCTTAATCCGTGTTTAGTTGATAAAAAAATATATTATTCAATTGGTTTCAAATTCACTTATTAATTATAATTGCTTCTACTTATGATCATTTTTTAGTTTCGGTATATATATATATATATATATTGTTACTATGAGTTTTTCTGATTAAATAATGTATATCCGTTATAAAAATAAAGATACATCAACATATACGTTGTTAACTTTTAATATAATGCTTACCAAAAAAAAAAACTTTTAATATAATTACCTTTTCCACATTTCTAAAAATAGCAATAATTCTTTTGCTATTAATTATGTGTATATAGAAAATGTAATGATAGAAGATAACTGAAATTTCTAGTCTAGTGATTTGTATCAGCGTTGTTATTTAAACATGCAAATAAATGACTGTTAATATTCATAAAAAAATATGTGAACAAACAAATTATCATTAAACAAAAAATCTGAGAAGTAATCTTAAGCACTTAATGTGCTCCTACTATTTTTAGTAGTCCATCTATATATATTGTAGAACAACAAGACATATAAAAGAGTGTATGCCTGTAACCAATAACTATGCTGCAAAGTGTTCAACAAAAAATTTATATCTAGGATTTTTTTCCGTCTATATAACTTACATTAGATCTATTAACAAATTTTAACATTAGATCAATATTCTTGTGGCCATTTCTAACGGATCAAATATTATTCAAACTTTTGACATCTTGCTGCAACATTTTATATAAGTAAGCTGGTTTACCAAAAAAAAAGAAACTCCGCAACTAAAAGCTTTTTAAGTTTTTATGTTTGGTTCAAATCTCTGAACTAATATATGTGTTTCCACTGTAATGTTTAGATATAGTTACGTTGAGAACTTTTTTTTTGAACCTTACTAATAATTTTATTAATAAACCCAAACCGGGAATAAAGGAGTGATTTACAAAATCGAAATCAGCCAAAATCCGGTTTGACCGGTACAACCTACAAGCTATTGACGAAACCCTAAATAGTTTGAGAACTTATTAATGATCTATATATAGTCATTTGAGTCATTGTGTCATCCACGACACGTTATTTGTCTCTACAATCTTCACAACAATCAGAACATAAATGAAAGAATAAGCCAAAAACTCTAAAACAGTATAGAGATATATCTAGTAAATTACTAACCATAGAATCTTTTTTTTTTTAACCATAGAATCTTTTGTTGTCTACCATTTGAATTTTATCGTCGAAACTCGTAAAAATCAAATAAAAAATTGTTTTTCTATTCTTTAGATTTACAGAAACTGTACAACCTACTATTGTATATTCTAAAATTGGTTCCTTCGGTTTATATTTTAGAAGACGCAAATATTAGTTCCTTCGTTTCCTTTTTTCTTGTTCATTTCTTAAAAAAAAAAAAACGAGATAGAAAAGGAAAAAAAAAAAGAAAAAAAAAACTAATGGGGAAATTGAAAAGGTACATTCTGTGGAATATGCTTCAGATTTGGGAAAGGTTTTGGGTCCCGAGCTGAGCTGGGCTCCACCTCCCGTAAAGAGCTTTCCCTGTTAAGAATGTACACTAAAACCCTAATTTTGTTTCAATTTTACTCTCTTTTTGTTTTACTTAGTTTTGTGTTGTGTATTGTGTAAAACCAATTTTGAGTTTTTTTTTTAATGTACCAAATAGCAAAAAAGAAAAGAAAATGTGAACAGCAATAAGATTCCTTTGTGCATAATAAGCAATAAGTTGATTTATGTTCTAAATTTAAATATTTCTATATATAGGACAAAAGTTTTTCTTCTTCTGTAAGATGTAATTTTGATGTTGGCATTCACTTTATCAAATAGACTTTCATTTTCATTATATAAACATGCGAGCTATTATCTTAAAATTATATATAAATATGTGTATATATATATATCACTAATTTTTTTGTCAATAATATGCATTATATGAGTCTGAACTCAGATGGTGAACAATATTAGCTTAAAATATTAGGTTACAATCTTACATTACTATTTAATATGTTAAACATTAATATTTCCATATAGCAAAATACTAATTAGTATTTTAGTGAAAAATTTTGGTGCACTAATATTACATATATAATGGCTAATTTTACCCTTCCTCGTTGATTTGGAGATCACTAATAATTAAGAACATTAATATTCTGTATATATGGAATATTTTGAAAATTGACATATCACCTCATATAATTGACACCATCATTAAAATTTATATTTCCTTGTCCTTTCGATAAAACGTAAATATAAGACCTCTTAGGCTCATGTAAATAGCTAGATTCCATGACCGGTTTAATCAAGTAAAAGTGAGTTTATATATATATATATATATATATATATATATATATATATATATATATATTCTTATGTAGATGCTTAAAACTTGTTGTAATGTTGTTAACACCATGTCATAACACCATGTAATTTTTGTTATTACTAGATAGTGGATACTGCTCTTTACACCCACTAAACTTACCACAATATTCAAAATTCAGCTAATATATACTCCCTCCGTATTTTAATAATTGTCGTTTTAGAATTTTTATTTTTTTGAATTGGAGGTCGTTTTCAAATTTCTATGCAAAATTTATTACTTTTTAATGTTTTATGACATCATAAAACATTAAAAAGTAAGAAATTTTGCATTGAAATTTGAAAACGACATCTAATTTTTAAAAAAAGAAAATCCTAAAACGACACTTATTAAAATACGGAGGGAGTAAGTTTTATCTACTATTTCACTAAGACAATTGGAATGTCAACTACTTTTTAAAGTTATCTTCAACTTTCGTTTAGCTATGAATTTATTATTAATTTTAAATATATAAATTTTTCTGAATCACCACATAATCGCTAAAATTCAAACTACTTGTAAAGTGCAGGTTAATACTATTTTATGAATTGTTCTTAGACAATCTCCAACCTATATCTCTATTTTGGAGTTGGGTTTTGTTCCAACCCTACTCCATTTCGGAGTTAAAGATAAAGATCTCCAAATTTTAGTGTTGATTAAAAATAGAAATCTTTAAATATAAGAAAAAAATAGAGATGAGTTGGATGAAATCTTACTTTAAACTCGATTTTGGAGATGAAAATAGAAATAGGTCGGAAATGTTTTTAAAGATATAAAATTAACAGAAGCTGACGTCGAGCTATACTTTCTACTTATCGGAAAACAACTTGGATAGTGAATGTCAGAATGTATATATAATTAGTGATTACCAACTCGATTACTAATTTAAAGATTAATTTCGTCAAATGAAAAGAGTTTAGCTTAGAAGAATATTATTTTAAGTTTTGAATTATTGTTTGTTCCACTTAAGTGACTTCACATAAGTAAGTGGAATTTGATGAGAAAAGATTCCTATCTCTCCAATTATGTTTCGGTTCTCAAGTTGGTCACTGTTGAAGAAGAGGAGATGAGAAGCCGATCCAATCATTCCCACCTCTCTTCAAACCAAAAGGACAGACTAAAAATCATATCTAATAAATATATTCATTGTCTACATATACGGTGTTGTTCTTTTGATAGTCGTAGGAGGCTTATAACTGCGACTGTAACTAAAAATTGTTCGTTTGACATATCAAATAGACCCGTTCATAGATCTATAGCACAAGTTCTAATATTTATTGCTGAGAATAACATATTTATTAAAATATATATATTTAACTGAAAAGTTAAAAAAAAAGAAGTGATTTTACTACTATTAGTTAAAAAAAAACAGTCATTATAACGAATTAATTATAACTGTACAATTTATTTCTGAAGCGTGGTCAAATTTGTCGAATCAGTCTATTTGGACAGGACTTTAAAACAGTGTCCAATGAATATAGTACGTGTAGTAACACAAACAATAGTGGAATCTTTAGATTTTATTTGATTTTTGGAATATTTATATGATTAATAATACATTAATAGATGAGGAACAATAGGCAAAAAGTAAAAGAAAAAGATATTATCCTCCAGTTTTTTTTTTCAATTCCAACATTTCAAAGTTTTATATTAAATCATGTTGGTCTACTAGTTAACGAATCATTATGTGATGTGAACAATATTTTAAGTTTTTACTCTGCGATTTTAATTATAGTTACCACCACCAAATACTTAAAATGAAAAAAATGCATAATTCTATCGTATGTCCCAAAATTTTGTTTTGGAATTTGATTTCAAATCCTTCAGTTATTAAAATAATGATTTTATACCTTGTTGGAAAGTTATATATACGGAGTCTGTTCAGGAGAGAAAAATTGAAAATACTCGTGCGGCTGAGAATCGATTTAATTTTTCACTATAAGTCTATAACAAAATAAGTTAATTAAT